CTCACCTTTATGTGAGAAAACTGGAATTTACCTGGTTTCATGGGCTTCTAGGGTACAGCGCTCCACAAAAATTGAAATAAACTACGTTTCTTTTTCTTTTTAGTAGCTTAATTTTAAAATAAGTGCTTACTAGCTCCCATAGTATAAAAATTCACATTTTTCTGGGTCCAGTAGCCTTTTCCATAGATGACTGCAGTCAGTTGGCACATGTCATTCTCTGTCTGCATTCGTGACTATATTCATTATTGTCTGTGCACGTGGCACAATCTGTTGGGAAACTGGAATATAGAATTTATAGTTGTAATTTTTAGGAGCAAAAGATCAAATGCATTGCACTTGGAATTTTTTTTTTTTTCAAGGGTTTCTCAGTAGCTTTGGAGCCTGTCCTGGAACTAGCTCTTGTAGACCAGGCTGGCCTCGAACTCCCAGAGATCCGCCTGCCTCTGCCTCCCCAGTGCTGGGATTAAAGGCATGCGCCACCACCACCCAGTGCACTTAGACATTTTCTAAAGATTTTCTTCCATTCTCATCTCACGGCCTTTCCTCATCTGCAGCGATCCTACAGCAAAGAGCTATTTGAAGAAGTCATTTCAAAGATGCGGAAGGCAGGAATCAAATCCACCATTGCAATAGAGAAGTTTAAGCTTCTTGCTGAGAAAGTGGAGGAAATAGTGGCCAAGAATGCACGGGCAGAAATTGACTACAGCGATGCGCCGGATGAGTTTAGAGGCAAGTTATTGCTCATGTCCATGTCTGTGGTGTAATGGGAAGTGTGTGGCATCGAGAGGGCTGTCTTTGTCACTGTTCTACTGCCGTGAAAGGTCATTGTGACCAAGGCAACTCTTTTTCCTTTTGGTTTTTTGAGACAGGGTTTTTCTGTGTAGCCTTGGCTGTCATGAAACTCATTCTGTAGGCTAGCCTCAAACTCATAGACATCCGCCTACCTCTGGCTCATGAGTGCTGGGATTAAAGGCATTCGCCATCACTGCCTGGCCCCAAGGCAACTCTTATAAAAGAAAGAATTTCATTAGGGGCTTATTTGCAGTTTCAGGGGGTTAGTCTATGACTAATATGAGCCTCTGGGGACCATTCTCACAAAGCCACTACAGGGGCACTATCTGTGTTTTTTGATTGTTTGGTGGCATGCTATAGGTGTTTTTTGAGAGTTGTCTAAAATTATGTATACAAATTTTGACTTATAGTGTAGACTAAAGGATGAACGTCCTTAGTGTGATTTCACCTGATACCTATGAGGACTTTAAAGACGGCTCTACCTTCCTAAAGGGAGGAGTCTGGTTTTCAGGCAAAGGGTCCTGTCCCAGGGGCCTGCTTCCCGGCTGTCCATCCTTGCTATTTTCTCCTCCTGGATGCAGGGACCCTGGGGTCTGTACGCAGCTCTCCCTCTGGCTGTGTCTCTTACTGGTCAGACAGTGTGCTTCTTCAGTCGTAGCTTCCACCATTGGGTTAGTGTGCTACGCTTTGTCTCTGCAGACCCTCTGATGGACACCCTGATGACCGACCCTGTGAGACTGCCCTCTGGCACCATAATGGACCGCTCCATTATCCTGCGGCATCTTCTGAACTCCCCCACTGACCCCTTCAACCGCCAGATGCTGACTGAGAACATGCTGGAACCAGGTAGGAGGCTCAGCCTGCCTTGCAGTGCTGATGCTCGTGCCCTGGGACCTGTAATTCCAGCTAATGGGAGGATGAGGCAGAAGGGTAGCCTGTTCAAGACCAGCCTAGACCATTTAGTTGAGCCACTGCCTCAAATAAATAAAAAAGGCAAGTTGGCTAAATCTCTACCCACAGAACCCTTGCCTAGTGTGTGCACACCCCCAAATTCAGTCCCCAGCACCAACGTCAAAAACAGACACCGCATGCAGAAAGTACCCAGGTGAAGCTCTTTATGGAAAAGCCAGAACGCACTCGGCCTGCTTTTTCTGTAAATGCCCCCCTCTCTGTGGCTGCTTCTGCCAAGGACTTGAGCACGCAGAGGGAATGAGTGGCCTCTTTCCTCTTAGACAGAGCTACAAGCTGCAGAGCCTGTTTGTCTAGGCCATTAATCCCCCGTCTTTTCTCCCTCAGTGCCAGAGCTGAAGGAGCAGATTCAAGCCTGGATGAGAGAGAAGCAGAGCAGTGACCACTAAGCCGTCCCCGTCGCACTTCTCTGCTGGAAACAGCCACGCCAGCCAGCCAGGCTGAAGCAGCATCCACCTCAAAGCCGCTGCTCAACCCTGCAGCCAGATGTGGCCAGATCCTGAGAGCCCACCCCGAGTGACCAAACAGTAGAGATCTGAGAGACATGATGAGAAGAGGAGCCCGATTCCTGTACATATATTTAAGTGACAAACTGTCAAAAGCTTGAGGGACGAGTTTTACGATTGCCTGTGTAGTAAAGCACGTCCCTCGCCTGTCACACCTGGGGCTGTGGCGACGGAAGTCTTTAGTGATGGCGAGCGGGTCTGGGCAGCATCCCCCTGAGCTTTCGTTTTGTTTGGTTTTTTCGATGTGACTAGAGAACTCGGACATTTTGCTGCTAAAGAATCTCCCCCTTCCTCACCCTCCTTGCGCTGTGGGTTTTTTTAAAGAGAAACAAAACCAGACTCCTTTCCCGGCCTCCAAACACGTATTCTGTGAGATACCTGTGCCTGCGACAAAGTGTTAATCTTGGGATCGTATTTTTATATCATATTCACATACTTGTTTTTTTAATTGGTGTTAGATGACATGATTAATAAAAAAGGCAAGATATTTTCAGAATTTGAATTTCAGTTTTTTTTCCCTTTTGAAATAGCCCCTTTACATTTTTTTTTATTATAAACAAAATGAAGAGAGCCCTGTTGCCCTGGCCTTTCTACCAAGCCCTCGAGTAAGATTCTGAGGACAGGTGCAGCATCGGGATGGCTGAAGTGGATCAGGACTCGTGTGACTTGTGGGGTTTGGGGAGGTGAGGGTTGTGTTTTGGTTTTTGTTTTTTTAATCCAATGTGACAATTCCAAACCTATTGCCATTATCCTCTGGGAATCAATAGATTCCCCAACCCTGGGTTTATTTGTATGCTGTGTCCTTTTGGTGTTTGGCCTTACCAAAGCAAAAAAAACAAAAAACAAAAAAAAAAAAGAGGGTAGAAGAAATGTGAAAATCTGTCTGCTTGTTTCCATGCCCGGACAAACGCCACCACGCTGGCACACGCGAGCAGAAACCCTTTGTATTACCGCTCCCTACGCAACATACTTGAATTCTTGAACTTCCTGTGGGGTAAAAAAAGGATTTGAAACCATAAAGTGTTCTAAGAAAATGAAATCTTCAGAAGCATATTTTCTTTTCTTCCCCTTCTCCTCTTCTCCACAGACAATGTGCTCTGTTCAGTTCCCAACACAAACTCCAATAAAGAGTGATGCCCATTCGGAAGGAGTCCTCTGTGCGTAGTCTTTTTGTGGAAGAGAAATGGGCGGGGACCGGCTGGGCGTAGAGTGGCTCACACCTCTAGTCCCAGGGCTTCCAAGGAAGAGGCGGGAAGATCTCTGAATCTGAGACCACCCTGATCTACATACAGAGTTCCAGGCTATCCTATGCTGGATATGAAGTACTATATTTAAAATAAATAGATAAGTAAATAACTGGACAGTGGTGGTGCACGCCTTTAATGCCAGCACTCAGGAGGCAGAGACAGGTGGATGTCTATGAGGTCTGTGTGTTTGAGGTCAGCCTGGTCTACAGAGTGAGTTTTCAGCAGGTACAGGAGCATTTGTGGCTCTCACAGTGGGCGCCTGGTCTAGTTCCCAGCATCTACAGCTCACAGCTGCCTGGAACTCCCGTTTCAGATACCCATGGGCACTGGGCACACACATGATGCTCACACACACACGCACGTACACACATATGCAATCAAAGCATTTACACACATAAGAATAAAGGGACGAGGGCAAAGAAGAGCCAAGTGGGTGTGCATGCGGTGAAGTGCTCTTTCTGGAGCCAGTTAGGAATTGCTGGTTTTAAAGTAAAGCATTATGGGCCATTGAGATGGTTCATGGAATAAAGGTGTTTGCTACCGACCCTGGTGACCTGAGTTTGATCCCTGGGATCCATGTGCTCGAAGGAGAGTGCTGACTCCCACAAGTTACACTCTGAACCCCACACATGGTATAGCACACCCCCCTACAATAAATAAAGGTATAAAATGTTTACTTGAAAATAAAACCGTCTCATCCTCACTCGTCTTCCTTGGCGTGGCCCTTGGTTCGCATTCCACTCTGCTGGTGTGAAGGGCCTCAGCGCCGTCTCTTCAGGTACCTCAGAGATCCTTGTGGCCAGCCTGCTTACTCAGGTCCCATCCATTCCATTAGCTCCCCAGTTAGCACAGGCCGTAATAACCCCTGCCACAGGCAGCACTTAGATGGTACTTCCTGCATGCCAGGCACTGTGCAAAAAGCCTTTGTATTTATAGTGCCGGCCCCAGGTAGATAGGACCTCGTTTGTTTGGCTGTTTTCAATAGGTCAGAATACCAGCTGCAGACAGATTAGATGCCTTGCCCATTGTCCCCTGGCAAGTATCCTGGCTCTAGGGCCCATGCCATTTATTTCCTTGATGTCTACTTCTCTTGAGCACATTGGACTCACTATCCCCCTTCCCCCATCCCAAACAGAGTTTGGGCTAGAATGTTGCTCAGAGGTAAGAGCATCTACCGAGCATGTGTGAAGATCTGGGTCAATTACCCATGATCCCACTTTTCAGATGATTCTATTCTGTTTGCTTGTTACTAGGCTTATTATCCACAAGCCTATGAAGTTAATTATATTAATTAGAACCATGTCTAATATTTGTTGGTTTCAAGATTGAGGGGTGCTTATCTCCTTCCACCACTAGGAGGTGCTAGTCTCACCCTATCAGAGTTAAGGGGTGCTGCTTCTGGCAGTGTTTCAAGGGCAGTCTTTAGGAAAGGTGGGGCATGGATGCAGCCCATTTCCTTGCCTCTAGGGGCGCTGTTTTTTTCTTTATTGGAGTCTTAGGGTAGCTGTTTTATGGAAACTCATTGTTTGCCTTCAATCTACTAATTATAGGATCCAAAATATTTCAAAAGTATGTCTGGATTGAAAGGAAGATGGTCCCACAAGGAGACCGGGAAACCTGTCAGCAGAAGGGAAGCCTTTGAGCAAAAAAGGGGACAGGTACATTGTGCTCATCTCATGAGTCACCGCTGTGTGGGTTCCAAAAGGGAGTGGGAGAACACCCTCATTTCTGGTCTGTGTGGTGCTGGGGATCAAATCCCAGACTTCTTATATGCTACCGAGTCTGCCAACTGAGCTACATCTCAAGCCTCCCCTCCCAGCAGCTATTATTAGAAAAGGCAAGAGGATGATCTGCGTGTTTATGATGATGCTCTTTCAATAATCCAGGAGATCGCCAACTGCGAATGACTCAGAGCAAAGCAGTTGGAGTAGAGCCAGGGAGGCTGGCTTCTGGGACAGGTTTGATGATGGAGTTGAGATTTGTAAATAGATTGGAAGAACTGCACAAGGCAAGGGGTCAGGAAGAAAGTCCATGTGACTTTGAAGGACATCAGGTACAATGATGGGGACACTGAGTGGAGCAGGCTTGGGGTGAAGTGCGAGGATTTTAGGCTATCTAGCTGGGCAGTGGTAGCACACACCTTTAATCCCTGCATTCGAGAGCAGAGGCAGGCTGATCTACAGAGTGAGTTCCAGGACAGCTAGGGATACACAGGGAAATCCTGTGTTGAAAAACCAGTAAAGAAAGTGGAAATGCAATATAGGAAATGTCCGGACCGGAGACATAAATTTGGAGCCAAGAGTTCTTGGAATGACTGACGGTTGTTGGATTGAAGGCGTTTGACTGCGGTGAGCGTGTGAGATGACCACAGTGGCAAACACCCGGAGTCCCAGCACATCAGGGGAAGATGTAGGAACACTGGGACTTCAAGGTCATCTTTGGCTACACGGCTAATTCATGATGAGACCAGGTTGGCCTCCGTGGGACCACTTCAAAAAGAATAGAAAAATAATATCAGCAGTGGACGGCTATGTCTGGAATCTCAGCTGTTAGGAGGTAGAAGCCAGAGGTTTGGGGTGTCCAAGGACAGTCAGCTACATAAGGAATTCAGGGCCACCTGGAGCTACCTGAGCCCCTGTCTCAAACCCAAACTAAACAAGCTTCAGTGTGCTCTGTCTTCATCTGCCGCTCTGTCCCAAGCCGCTGTCACCTGCATTGGGTTTAATTGCCCAGTTCTGAGGACCTAAGTCTTGGTCTTAAACAGATCACCTAAGTTTTGTCAGTTAAACCAGGAACTGAGATTCATCATTGCAAATCGGGGCTTGAGTTGACTGAGCTTGGGAAGCTCTCACTAAGGGAACTGCTGTGTTTGAGGTCAAGTTGGAGCTGGGGCTGAAGATAGCTTGAAGGCCTCCTTACAATGTTTCTCAGCCTACATACCTACAATGGCCTCTGAGCTGCTCTTTGGAGCATTGTGTCATAAACAGTAAAGAGACACGGACGGAAGAGCCTTACTTCAGTCATTTCCAAAGCCCCAGGGAGCCCAGGGCGGCTGGAGGACTTGACATTGCTGGTTTCCAACAGACAGTCTAAATCTTCCATCCTTTTGTATCGTGTATCACTTTATAATCGTTTCAATTATTTATGTTGTTTTGTTGAAAGCAAAGCATGTTAGAAAACTGTCACCAAGGGAAGGGCAGGAAATGGCAAGCACACTGAATTGTGGCAGGACAGAGACATTTCAACATTGTTATAACTTAAGACTCTTGGTGAAGGAGTGCGTGCGTGCGTGCGTGCGTGCGTGTTCATCAGACACAAGAGACAAAGATGACTGGATGTCAGTGCTTCTCTGGTTACCTAGTCTCTAATCTCTGCATTCTCTCTCTTTTTCTCTCTCTCTCTTTTTATACAGCCTCACTATGAGCCATGGCTGTCCTGGAACTTGTATAGATCAGACTGGTCTTGAACTCATGGAGATCTGCCTGCTTCTAGGTTAAGAGTGCACACCACCATATCTAGCTCCTGTTTCCTTTTTCTATACATCTGTATGTACCGTGTGCACTCATGTGTATGCATGCATACATTTCTGTGTGTATGCAGGTGCATGTGCTTATGTGTGAGCATACATGTGGAGGCCCGAGGTTACAGCACAAATCTTATTAGATGACCCTCCATCTTATTTATTGAGGCAGGGTCTCTCAGTGGAACCCAAAACTTGCCAGTATGGTCTGGCTATCAAACTTGCCCTGTTTCTGTTTAGAAGCCTAGGGCTTATACCTGTAATGTTATTATTACATTTTTAGCATACAAAATACTAGGTTTCGTTATGACATTGTCAAACATGTAGCACATGTTTGCCTCATGTCCACACACTCCCTTGTCTACACGTTTATAACTGCTTGCATTATACTTCTCTCCTCTGCCTCTCTATAACATCTCAAAGATGGAAGAAAATTGATGATGAAATTACTTTTTAGTTTTCTTAAACCCTGAGGTCTTGTGAGGCAAGCGCACTGTTAATAAGCACATAGCTAATTTCTCCACCGCCCCAGAGTCAGCTGCTTCTGCAAAGGGTGAAGGATTTAATTCCTTCACCCTCCTTTGAAGATATCCCAGACCTCAGTTACTTTCCAACAGCTGTGAAGAGCGAGGCCATGAGCAAACTGTAGGCCTGCTGATAGACCACACCTCATAATCCTTCCCGAACAGTTCCATCAGCTGGGAACTGAGCATTCGAACACATGAGCCT